TATTGCAGTATTTGGGCCCTAAAATCCTATCATTTGGGTCCTTGGACCCTTAAGGATCATTGGGTACTTGGACCTATAGGGATTGTGTTTAGGTCCAGGCTTTGCAGCCTCCACTCCGGGGCTTAGGGTTTAGGGCTTAGGCCCTCTCCATATTAACATGTAGCTTGAATTGAGGTCCGAAAAAGATTGCAAACGAGTTTACTATTTTTGGCAGGGTGGTACATGTAGGGATAGGGGAAACAGCAGAAGCCAGAAGTCAGAAGATCATAACATCAGTATTCCCTACCCCAGGCCTACACCGGCATAAATCGTACTGCTTCCACGTTGCAACTTTTTGCCCTTCCCTGCAACTCAGCAGTGTTGTGGCTGCTCCGCAGAAAACACGGCAAAGCTTCTGCTCCCTACGGCACCCGCAAGAGGCCCTTAAACAGACTTCCCTTGGTCTGAATGCTCAGCAAACAGTGACGAGCGCAGTCGAGTTTGATGCAGCAAGGTGATTTGCCCGCACCAGGCCTTAAAGCCCTCATCCCCTGAGGGGAACTCTAAGTGTCCAAGGACCGAAATGATAGGGTGTGTACTATGATACTAATGGTATTTGGGCCCTATTATTTGGGTCCTTGGACCCTTAGGGGAAAGGAGGGGGGGGGGTGCAAGTAGCGCCGGATCTCTTACGAAGATCTCCAGGCCTGCATGTGCTTGTGCTCTGTCACCGCTATGCCTGCTCCGAATGCCGCTGGCCGCGCAATCCTTGCCATGATCGTGCTTAGGGTTTAGGGTTCAGGGTGAGCCACGTCAGTGCCTGAGCCGTGCTAGCAGGATCCGGATGCATGCCCCCAGGACGTCCAATATTCCTTAGTGTGGGAATATACCTTTAAATCATCAGGGATCCCTAACATGATTTCAGGTATATTCCCTCATTAAGGGATATTGGACTTCCTGGGCCAGTCAAGCTTGAAGATTTCAGAAGGGCAGGCCGCACGAAGTGGGGCCAACGCGGCCTTCTCAGTGTCTGGGGGGCTGTACGGAAGTCCTTAACCTTGATCCCGCTTCCTAGGGCGTCGTAAAGAGCTACTGCCTGGTAAGCCCGAGTTGTGCACAAATGTTGCAACCTGTCACTGGTGATGGGTTTCTGAGCAGCTGCTGAAATTATGGGATTTACAATAAGGAGGAATTCTACAAATTGAGGCGCCACACATCTTTTTTCTAGCATGGTCTCGAATCACCATGACCTGGCCACAGCTAACTTGTACAGGTCAATCGTTCGAATCGAAACTTTCGTTGAATTGACTTGCCGGGACAACGTTGCCACTTTGTTGATGAAATCCTCCGGCATCTGGCAGCTGTATGCCAACGGATTGATCGGAACCTGCTTCTTCGTAAAGTTGGCCTCCAAGTCAAACACGACATGACACAGCATGTGAAATTTTGGGTTGAGCTTAAACCTTGCAAAGCCTTTGGTATGCGCCTTTGTCGCACACTTCGCATATCCCTGCAACATCGCATGCCCAGAAGATACAATTGTACGCAGATCCTTTCTTTGGATGAAGATGCCGCATCGATACAGGGTGCTCATGAATTTATTGCTGGCTGTCAAACAGTCAAGGATTGTCTCGAGGTAGGATGCATCCTCACCCAAAAACTGATCATCTCGCACCACAGACCCATATTTGTAGGCCAAGTATTTGACCACAACAGTCGTGTCAGCACCTTTGAACCAATGCCTGGGAAGCAAAGCTGGAACACAAATATAGGAGTCTATCTTTCATAACCCCTAACGTTCATATGGATTGTTTGATTCTAGGCTTGCAGCAAAAGCTTATTCAGGTTGGGGGCCGAAACGAAAAACTGAAAAACCAAAAAGTTCAAAATCGGGGTGAATGATTGCTGGGTTTGAACAGTACTATGGTTGGAAAAAGAATGTTATAAAACACAATATTATAATCTCAATAACAACACAAACTCATAGCGCGAAAGGGTCATCACCGCAAAATCGGGGACTGCAAAAACTCAATAGATCCTGTTGCCAAGATACCCGCAAGGAAAGTCTGCTTGAGATGGCCATCTCAAGATTGCTTTCGTGAGCCCATTCCGGTGCAGGTAAAGATGGTTCTCTTTTGCATACTCCTTGAGCTCAGCATACAAATGCTGCAAGCACTTCTCAGCACCAGTGTGCGAGCACCCAGACAGCTTTAGATCCAGCAGGACGACCTATGAGTTTTCAGAGCTTCAACCCCAAAACCAAAACAGAATCTATCTTTGGGTCACAGCTCGAAATATGAAAAACAGGTACCATGGCGACTAGGGTGCAAGGGCCGAACCCGCCAGCTCAGCATGAACACCTTTGTGCACCGTGTGAAATAAGTCGATATGAAAGAACCTGTTGCCAAACCCTGGCTCCGTCAGAATAGCTGTAACAAAAGCCGGCTGATTGCTAATCCAGGGCCATTTGGCATCCTCCGTCTGCATGGTTTTTGCCCACGGGGCAGTTCTAGGGTCGTGTTCATGCCAGCTCGGGCAAACTTCAGTATTAGCCAAGCACAGGTGACACAATCCTGCGCCAAAAGGATATGCTTCTCTTCGGAAGTGTCGCCTCATCTGGCCTAACTTATCTAGGGCCGTCCAGTCTCCTTTCAAACCAAGAACAGTTGCCCGGATTTTGCCGAAGCCTGGAATGATTATTCCATTTGTGTAACAGCTGCCAATGTCTCCAGCCCAGATTTTACACAGCTCATGAAGTGGAGCAGCGTCGTCACTGTACAAGTCCTTTGGCATTACGCTGTAGAGCAGTCTTGTTTTAAATGTGTTCCCATGGAAGTTCATTTTCAAACCGATTGCCCCTGGATCTGTGGGACCTGCCACATCGCACCCATAGCCAAGCACTGGCTCAGCACCAAGAACCATGATGCCGTGCTTCTTGTAGCCCCTCCCCTCGTCAGCTATCAAGTAAAATGGCAAGACCTTACCCCATTCGTTCTCTGGCAAAGAAAATACAGGATAGTTCGGCCGAAGGGGGCGCAGCTTTGACCAGAATTCAGTCACAGCAGATTCACCTTGATCACCAGTAAGATTTCCCAGTTTGCCATTGTTGGCTATACAACGGATGTAATCGCTGAGGTATATGACAGGGTGAGGCGCATCCAAACCAACATCCACAGTTGTAACGGGAATTTGGGCCGCTGTTGAAGGATTCGACTCCATACACTTTCGGGTAATAGCTGCAGCGTGCCCAGTTCGGGAGCCCCTACGCATGTCACGTAGTAGCTTTCCAGAAGGTAGCCTATCCACAGCTTGTTCCCCAAATGTTGAGGCAACCTCGTTGACAATCGCGCTGGCCAGTTCAGCCCCCATTTCGTTGGACACCTTGATTGAATACTCTTTTGGAAGACTAAAATTGTTCCATTGTTCTTAACCCACTACCACCTATAGGCCCTCTAAGCCCGAATCCCGAAACCCTATAACCCTCACGCAACCCTATATACATATTATATATATATATACAGAAACCCAACCTAAACCTATAAATCCTAAAATAAACCCTATACAAGCAAAACCGCCCAATGATGCATGGACTTCGAAGCGGCTTGCGGCTTCACCAGGAGGCCAGGCTACTATTTGGGTTCCCACTATACAATAAAAGTTTGTCCAGGAAGGCAAACCATATATTGCCATACATCCCCAAACCCAATAATGACCAACTTGAATCATACCTCCAACAACCCTGAGCTACCAGATCTTAAGTAACAGACTGAAAATGGTTTCAAGTGTCAAGTATACATGCACAGCATTGCCCAGTGACACCCATGGTAAGCGCTCGTGCAAGGGTACTAGCCAAAGGTCCACCGGATGAAGTTGACCCAGTAGCATTTCCTCCAGCTGAATCATCACTGCGTATCGAAGTTGCAGACAAAGTACCTGCGCAAGAATTTAGGTATTGGAGGTTCAGATTGGTTTTAACATGTTCTGTAGGGAATGCACGTTGCAATGATCGTATAATCCTCTTTTTGTCCACAGCAGCGCGCATCAATCGCACTTGATCCGTAGCATGCGCATGTCCGGCATACATTTCCCCGAACACATCAAGCGAAGTGCTCTGCACTTCCATCAACTCAGTCCAGCCTTCATCCTAGTATTTTTCGGTAAACACAAGGTGCCTTCCAATGTATACGTCTTTGGCGGAGCATGATACTAGGCTTAAGAGGCTGGTTCACACAAGACTTGAGTGTGAATGCACACTCTAGCTCAAAAGTCCTGCAACACAACATGTTGGAGGCTATGGATCTACTTACTAGTCTTCTTGGCCTTGGCTTTGCCCTTTGCCTTAGGCTTAGGGTTTGTGGCCCCCGACTTTTGCTGGTTGCCCTTCTTGCCGGACAGCGCTGTCCTGAGATATATGTCCCAAATGCGCGGCTAGGTTCACAAAAACAGTTTTTGATCCAAGCGACTTTTTGATTTTGTTCTCTTCCATGACGAGCCGGCTCGACCTTGGATGAAATCTGCATCCCAAAGAATCTAGTATGGACACCGTTCTCAAAGCATTATAAGTCCAAGCTGCATCTTCGATACCTCCGCCATCAGGCGCTCCAGCTTCCTTGGCAGGATGTTGGACAGGACTGCTTGGGTCTGCAGCTTTATCCTATATAAGCCCTCTCCCCTACAATCCTAAACCCTGAACCCCACAAATAAACACTAAACCGTAAAAAACGTGAATAACCTGTAACCCTATACACTCCAAATCCTAAACCCTAGACGTAACAAACCGTATGTATATATATATATATGTATAGACATATATATATATATGTATACGCTAAACCCTATGCCCCAAACCATGGTGAATGCGAAAGGGCATTCAAAATGTGAATCAGTCATGAACCGTTTTCGAAGGGATAAGGGTTAGCATCGTTCAGAAATCAGGGTTGGCAAGGTTTGGGGAAATCGTGTTGAGTAGTGAGTATTGCAAAATAGCACACAATTCCAACACTTTGGGGCGGAAGGCCAAAGGGATTATATAGACCCGGGTTTTTGCGAACAGGTTTCTGGCTATCAATGTTCTCCTCGGAATCGTGGGCAGACTTTATGTCTGCAATCTCATCATGTTTGGCATGCAGTGCCCATTCATGGCGTGCAAAACTTAAGCTAAGGGGCTTGGTATCCACACCTTCTTTCCGGCATCTGTCCAGGAGCTTGTTCATACGCGCTTGCTGCTTCAAGAGCTCATCGAGGATCTTGGGAACACCATCCATGTCCTGTAGGATGTGGCCCCGGGTTACACGTATACTACAGGGATGTTTGGAAAATCGCAAATGCTTCTATATAGGGAGGGTATTTAACACGAGGGGTGGTATTGGCTTAAGGGGGGTTGTATAGAAGTATTGGGTTCGAGAGGTTATTGCGATAAATGTATCGGATTTGGGGATTATGGTCTCCTCTGTGGGCAGCTCTTCTTCGAAGTCTTTCTTCGCGCGCTTCTTCCCACACCTGCCCTTGGATCCCCTGCGCCTTTTTTTCGGCGTCGGGGTAGAGGTCATGCTTTCTGCATCATCCCCACCATCATCATCATTGTCGTCCCCCTTGTTCCCTGGACTTGCTGTAGCCGATGTGTCATCATCACCATCATCATCGCTGGATAGCTCTGGCAAGGCACCGCCGCCCCTGCCAGTAGGACGGCTTCGCAGACCCAAAGGGATCTTCTACACCAAGGCATCCCCAATGCCCGTCTCACGGGAAAGCCGCTCCTCCTCAGCGTTCCGAGTTATACCCTCATACTTTGTGTCCACCCAAAACCACAGCACCTTCTTCTGGTACTTGTCCTTCCTTAGGATGTGCGAAGTATGGGCACGCGCAGCTCTAGTAACACTCTGCATCATGCAACAACTACAAATGGGGCGCTAGCTGAACGTGGTCCTTCCGGTTCTCCTTCCGGAGACAATACTTGCGAATTGCCGCTCGTCGTTCCCTCAACTGCTAAGGCACACTTCATGGGGGCAAAGGGACTTACTATGATTTTGGCTACGTCATTTGTGCAATGTATTGAACCAAGTTGCGGATCAAACTTGAGGTCGTCCTTCATCATTTGGTCCGTGTAGAACCCAGAAGTCACACTGAACTGATTGGACCGGGTCTGAACGAACTGATGGAGAACACGCTGGGTGAAAGCATCCTGCACATCCAACAAGAAAGGTTTCATGGTACCAGGTCATTCAGGAGTGGGAGCCCTGTATACTATAGAAAGCCTATAATATTATAACCCATAGATGGTGCGCGTAAAGAGTAATAGGGGAACATATATTTCTTTATATGGGCAAGTCTCCATGAAGGGTTGATAATGCTTATCAGGTTTTAGGGTTTTAAGAGCCTGGGTCATTTTGGTCTGCGGTGCCTTATCTCCTTCACACTCTACCAGGACCTTAAGCAGCTGACGTCGGGAAACACCTCCCTTGTGCCAAAGTTTGTGTATGGATTCCGGAACTTCACGAGACTTCTTCTTGTTGGCCTTGCGCATTCTCCGTAACTGGGCATCGTACTTGTTGTGGATCTGCTTGGCTCGGGCTTTCTCCTCATGCATGCATTAATATATTCGCAATGTGACAGCCCAACCCCTTAAACCCTGAACCCTAGAATCCTAATCCCGAAACTATAGCCAAGTGGCCGCCAAAGCCAGTACCCGAGCCTTCCTTAGGCTTGGGGAGCGCGCCTTAAGATTGCCGCCTGATCCAGGAGTCCGCGGGGACCGGGCTTTGGGCGAAGGCTTGGTCGGGGTTCGCTCAGATTTCTCAGTTTCGGTCGGAGTGCAGGCACCCGTATCATAGCGATCAACTTTGGCAACCTGCCAGGGTGGATTGTTATTTATAGGATTATAGGGTCATAGGATTTATTATAGGGTTTAGGGGTCAGGGTTTGATCAGGGCTGAATTCACTATTCTCATTATATATGGGGACCTATCTCGGGATAGTATACAGGTAAAATGGTTATCAGTTTCCACAAGCTCGATAAACTTACAGGGTTTTACTATTTCATCAATCATCCAACACGCCTCAGCATCCGATGTATCCTCATACGCAGCATTGAGCATCTCCTGCATGCAAGGGCTATGTTAGGATCCTAGCATAGTGAACAGTGATTTATTCAAAGCAATGGCCTTCAATTTCTCCCCAGACTTTGGGGTCGAAGGGTCTTGAACAAGGAGCCGGGCAAAGAAGTCTCGCATCTCAGGTTCCTCCAGGGCCTTCTGAGGGGACTCATTGAGAGCCTTCATGAGGGGATGATCACTAGCTGGCACATCTAGGATGACATCCTCAAAGAGTTGTCTAGGGCGCTGCGGCGAAACCGCATCCTCACAAGAAGCTATCCCTTGAAGCTTCAAAGATGATGTGCTCTTCGGATAGGGGTCCTGAGCGTCCTCTAGGCTTGGGTTGTAGAAGTAGGGGTCAGGAGGACCCCCGAAACTGGCTGCAGCACTGGGGCCAGTGGGTAGTGTAGCTGATCCTGGGGTTGCTTCGCCGCTCTTTTCCGGTGATGGAATCTCTGAAGACTGCAAGGGTTTCTCTTCCAGGGATGGCTCCGGTGGTGGGATATTCTCTGAAGACTGCAAGGGTTTCTCTTCCAGGGATGGCTCCGGTGGTGGGATATTCTCTGAAGACTGCAATGGATTCTCTTCATGGGATGGCTTCGGGGCTTCCGCGGGAATCTCTTCTAACCCATTAGGGACAGGACCAGTTGCCTCTGACAGAATCAAAGTTGGTGCAGACTGCAAGGGGGTCTCTACAGGGGATTGCTTCGGTTCAGCTGCTGGTGCAGGCAAAGCCAGCAAACCTGGGATCGGCTTTGCAAGCTTCGTGGACGAGGCCTGGCTTTCCTTAGGCTCAACCTCATCTTCTGCAGCTGTTGTGGAAAGAATCAGTTTCTTGGCACTCCTGGGTTTGCGCAAGCTCTTCTTGCGGGGGCTGCTTTTCTTTGCCTCAGGAAGTGGCGCTGGTTCATCCTCATCAACTTGGGTTTCGGCCTCAGCCGCTTTCTGAGCATCCATAGCAGCTTTCAGAGCTTCGAGTTGCTCTTGCGCCGCCTGTTTTTGAAGGGCTTGGTGCAGGGTTGATGTAGACATAGGTTATTACGGGAATTGAGACTAGGGTTAAGGTGAGTTAGGGTTTTTGGGAGGTTGGAGTTTATGGATATGGGTTTGCAACGAGTGATCCTGGAGCTGCTGCGCGAGGTCAACAGGTTCAGCTTTCACCTTCTCCATGTAGGATTGGCCCCTGTACAAAGTATCAGCACTGTGCAGGCGCTTTGCCTTTGCTTTGCCTTTTCCCATTGCAGGTCTCCAGCACAGACCCTAGCAGTTCTAGCACAGCCGGAATGGCCTTGAGGCACAGCAGAATTTAAGTCAAGGTGCAACCAAAAGTGGTTCAAACACGCATTTTTGGGGAGCCATCAGCGACCTACGTTTTTTACGCCACTGCTACGGCTTTCTACGCCACTGCTACGGCTTTTTACGCCGCTGGAGTTCAGGAGGATTTCTGTAAAAATGCACGCTCAACATGCATTTGCTGCCACCAGCAGAAGATCTTTGGTGATCAGAAATCAAAGTTCCATTCCGAAGGCAACCTGCAGCGCCGGTTTGTCTGTAAGTACTTCAGCACCTCATCCATTCCAGCATCCGCCCACATGTCTGCGAGCATTCCTTGTTTGATCTCCGAAGGCTCCAGCACACTGGCGTCCTGGGGGACAAGGCGGTGTCATGGTTGGGTTTTGTGATTTTGAAGATCTCTTGCTGATGGCCTTCAGCTCCCGAGGGGCCGTAATTTTAGCTTTGAGCTTCTTGAGAACCCGGGCATACTTGGCCCCAAATCCGGACGGATAGCTCCTTATATATGCTTGTGACACACTGCGTGTCATTGTGGCACATGTGTCTCATAGAATGTCTAAATTGCGAAGTAAGAAGCTGTGACTGCTTCAACTCTTTCTTGTTTCCAGTGTAGCCTTTGCCATTTGTCCGGGCCAACCGCACAGGCAGACGATCAAGGTCCTTTCTGCTGAGCTTGTCAGTACGAAATTCTTTGATTCCTTTGGTGTTCCCCCAAAGCACCGTCCGCTTGGGAGACTGAGCCCCATATTTCGCCATCCAAAACGAAGATCTATATATGGGCAGCAGTTTGCAAAGGTCTTGAAATCGTGGATGCCGATAGAGAAGCGATGTGGAAGGCTGCTCCATCACGAATACGCATTGCATCGCCACTATCAGGTAGATGGCCAAACATGCCCTAAGTATACATGAGTGCACTTGCACATGCATGCGATGCCTGGGTTGGAACCTCATGCTCGTGTGCTGGGCCATTCTTGCAAACAAGTAACCTTGCCACCATCTTGTTGCCGCTGGCAACAAATTCGCAGTGCTGGTAACCTAGCGGCGTCAAGAAACTTCGTCCACTGCTACCTTTGCAGATGGATATCCAACTGCTGCAGACGATCCCCATATGGAATACGCATCCAGGACGGGAATTCAAAATTGTTTGGAGAATTAGCCTTGGATGATAATTGTTGCAAGAAGATTCGCCACGCTCAAGTGCACACTGCATGAAGCACCATGCCCGAAATAATTGAGGCTAGGCTCGCATATCCTGCAGATTGGTTGATATCCATAGGATTCCCCTCACACATGCGCCTGCCTGCTTGTAGCTGCTGCTCCTTGTACTCTGCCCAATACAGAATGTCTAGCCCGATGGATGTGCAGCCAGATTCGCGAAGAGCAGATGTAACTGTTTGCACACCGGCGAACAGCTCCACCGCATCCCACTTCTGCATAGGTTCACACAACCAGTACATGAATCTCTGACCACTGTGCCCTTCTAGGTCATTCCCCTTAACCCCTGGCCTCGCCCCATTGCAGGCCATCGGTAAAGTGGAGTAAGATAACGAGGTACATCAGAACCTTGAGAGGCAGGGTTGGGAGGTAAAAGCCAAACATTATTGCGAAAGCCCCCGGAAAATCTCTTGTAATCCATCTATGAATGCGCCCTGCGCCCCTGGTAGACTCCTATATACTATAGATCGAGCTAGCCGTGGGGCTTATAATACATAGCGTCGAATCCGACATCCCCCATCAACCATAATAGTACGTGTATATGCCTTATAGAAAGCCCTTATAAATCCTAATATGCCCTGCTGAAAAACCCCCATAGCCCCGTATAAACCCTAAACCCCAACAAGGCCTACCAATTGCGTGGAATTTCGGGGAATGCTCTGGGCTCCTTCAGGGTTTATAATATGGTATATAGGGTAAGGTTGTCGGGCTAAGAGTTTTTATAATGCTCAGGGTTTCCGGTATAGGGTTGAGACGAGAAACACATGGCGCAGAAATTGCCCGCAACGAGAACAACATTTTCTGCAGTCGCTCTGCAGGAAGAGGCATGGTGCAGCCGGAGTCCGATCAGCAAGGCTGGGCTATCAATGCGTATTGAGCCCACTGTATACTGCGTTTGATCAAGGTCGCCTTGAATTCAGCTCTGACTCAGGGGCTTACGCGCACAAGCAGGGGCACGCTTCAGCTTCCCCTTGAGAAACTTCACGAGCTGGATGTATCACCTGGCATTCAAAGGTGCAAGGATCACTCTGTACATACCTCAATGAATCCAAGCCCTTGCGCACAGAAGGTCTA